AAGGGACAGCCTGGACAGGGTGCTGGCCCTTACGAAGGCACACACTCACACACCGTAAACAATATCCGATCTGCAGCAACACCTGTCTTTAGACTGTAGGAGGAAACTGGAGTATATTCACCTACAGTCAGAGCAAAATGTGAACTACACAGACAGAGCCACGGCAGAAACTGAGCCCACGAAGCGGAGGTGTGGTCCGTCAGAGATATATTAAAATTGCCTTTTGTGGGTGAAAACGTGCCATTTACTCATGGAATATACCTACACACCAAGCCCCGGATGGACATGACAGCAGTAACTGATAACCGCTGAAAATGTTTTATTTGTAGAGATTTGTTAACAATTATACAGTGCCGAAGATAATACACTGGTTATTGCATATGACTATAGTTTTTTCCTCTTTTCAAGGCCTGTGATAAAGACTATTATTCGCCATTTCCATTCACCCCTTTCCTTTGATGCGTTAATTTCCAGATACGTGGGAAAGCATTATTTTTCATTATAGTCCTTGGCATTGGAGGATCCTTGCAAAATGGATTTCACGTCACAGTAATCAGTTCACCTTCACCTGTAAGACACGTTCAATTGAATCCCCATTGTTTGAATTCATTTTGCTGCCGTAATCATATCTTTATGACTTATCGATTAAAAACGTGAGCAGCTTCCGACGAACCCTTGAACCAGTTCCGTCTGCCTGCAGTACATCCAGGATTTCATCAATAGGAGCTGGTTCGAGCGTTATGAGGAGCCGCTGCCGAATCGCACCGTCACCTTCATCTGGTCCAGCATCGTGGGTCTCTACGGCGTGGGCGGCCTTATCGGCTCTATGTGCGTCAAGTACTTTGCAGGTAGATTCGGAAGGTAAGGTTCTGATTTTCATCGTGTACAAATGCACTCGAGACATGTAACGAGCCTTTTTACATTAAAACTCTGCGATTTCAAGCCATGCATTTTCATACAAATTGATACATAAATGATACATAAACAGTAACAACGTCTTCAGAAAGGAAAACAATTGAAGAACTGTATGATGAAGAGTGGATTTTATATTTCTTACTCTGAGGGAAATGTTTTTTTTTTTTAAATCCTTTGATTTGGCGATAATACATAAAGACACTTAAGATTGCCTCATTGGAAGTACATTGCACTTTAGCAGAGGATGGTTTCAATCCATCGACCTCCAGGTTATGGGCCTAGCAAGCTTCCACTGCGCCACCCTGCTCCACATTAGTCCCTAATTCGCTAATCGTCAAGTGAAAAACAACATTCGGTTATCGAATCGAATTGAATATTGGCTGAGACATTTTCCGTTTAACCGTTGTTATGTATTTGCTTTAGGAAGGGAGCCATGATGTGGAACGATGCGATCAGCATCGTGTCCGCACTGATAATGTTCTCTAGTAAATCTTTGAATTCCTTTGAAATGGTCATTCTTGCGAGGTTCTCTTACGGATTTGCAGCAGGTACGTAGACTAGTGTTATTTACTTAGAAATTAAGCATGGAAGAGGAACTATTCTATTTGTGAAATAGGCAAGATAAGATATTGTTCTGAGTTTCTAAATTTCACAAGGTATTTTATATGTCACGAGGAAGTGGAATTAAAGGACAGCAGCTGACCCTTCAAACAAAGTTTTCTGACGTACAGTGTTGGTAACTGAATGTGCAACAGTGAGATGCATATTTATTTTAGGCTTGTCTGGGTAGAGAAATGTCTTCTAAAGTAAATCTCTTATGTCTGACAGTTTAAAAAGAAACAAAAAGTGTTTTTCTTGCCTTTTTTTCATTTGGAATGACGGACCACTCCTTGTTTGTTCAGGGCTGGGTTTATTTGTTCATATGATGTACCTGGGGGAGAGTTCTCCTACAAAACTCAGAGGAATGGTCACCCTGACATCTGCTACATTCTTCGCCATTGGAAAACTGTCAGGACAGCTTGCTGGCCTAAAGTATTCACTCATTCACATCTAGTAAAAAAAAAAAATGGTTATACAGATCAGTGGATGGAAATTCCCTAGAGAGGGCTGAAAGCGATGCAGTGCGTGACGTTTTGGTGCGCTGGTTTGCTCTCTTACAGGGAGTTCCTAGGTCATGAGAGTTTGTGGAACGTGCTGCTCTCTCTTCCTGGGATTCTCGCTTTCATTCAGCTGGTGGCTCTTCTGTTCATCCCAGAGGCACCCAGGTACTTACTGATAGACAAAGACAACAAGGAAATGTGTCAGAAAGGTGGGTTTAATCTGCTTTGTGGGATTAGGCCGCCGCGCCGTTGAATAAAATACAGCAAAGTCTGCAATAATACTATCTGCTTCCACAGAAGAAATTATGATTATTATCGCTTAATATAGACTAGATGTACAAATGCTCCATCCATCTTCCATATTGCTTATTTAGTACATGCTCACAATGACACTTACAAAATACAACAAAACAAGCTTACTTAACATTACACTCTTGGAGTTATTGTAGCATATGCTTGGTTTTAAAAACATGTTCGCAGTCATCATGCATGTGAAATGTCAATTATGTAGTTACAGTATTCCAGAATCGGTGTTTATCAGAGTTTATACAGATTCCATTTGCTGTGTTTGTGAGTTTCGTTGATTTATTTGGTGGTGGCCTGGTAATGCATACTTCACTTTTCATCATCGGGGTTGGTGCCCGTGCAGAGAGCCCAGATTGTCTGTCAGAAATCATGCGCATACATTCGCTCCTGTGTATGATAATCGATTAGGTATTTCCAGTAGGTGGCAGTGTGGACTTTAACAGATCAGCGATCAGGTTGTTGCTGTTGTAGTAGTTAATGGTGAGCTTTATAAGAAGGCTTGGAGGTTCCCGCATATCTAATTTTTCATACTGTCCAGACATGATACCGAAGTATGCAGTATTTTTAAAAGCAACACTATTCCATCATTTTAAAATATTGCCCATAAGATTATTCCTTTTGTCATAAGGAATTCGAAATAGTCTACTCTGTCGTACTACTGCAGTACCGGCCAAGCCTTGACCAATATCTTCAAAACTGTTCATAGAAGTTCACCAGTTTCACTACACTGCTTGTATGTGTGTTTGTTGCAATTCACCTGCACCCTCCTGGTCTGGTGAAATATCACCGCAGTACACATGCACCGACCGCGACCATCCGCATCCGCAGCCACATGTACAATGAACACAAGCTGCTGCGCGGATGGCCGTCCGCAGCCCCAAAGCGCACGAGGAAAAGTGAAGCATGAATTGGCCTGAGTTTCCTGCCGAAAGCACAAGCGTGAGGAAACGCCTCAAGCCCCAAGGGATGTCTTCTAGCCCTGCAGACTCTGTGGGGTGTCGGAGAATACAAGGTGGAAATGGAGGAGATGATGCTGGAGCAGGTCGCTATAAAAGGACAGCCATCCAAGAGCGTGGTGGGCCTGATGAGGGATCACCTGGTCCGCTGGCAGCTCCTCACCATCATGGTCATCACCTTCTCCATCCAGTTCTCGGGTGTCTCTGCGGTGAGCATATCGCACATGCCCATCACCCGTGGCAACACACGTGGGATCGCATGTACATACAGGGCCATGTCAGGTGGTCGAGGCGTCTGGTGATTCTTCTGTTAATGCTGGTGCAGATCAGTTCCTTCTCCTACTCAGTTCTGATGGAAGCGGGCATCCCGTCGGATAAGATCCGATATGTCACCCTGGGGCTGGGAATTTCAGAGGTTATGACCTCCATCGTGTGTGTAAGTCACGACAGAGAGAGTTACATTTAGTGTGCCGGGGGAAATCTCTTTGGAAGATGAAAGACGGTGCTCTATCTGTGCCATGTCTCCCAGGGATTTCTCATTGAGGACTTGGGGAGGAGAAGCCTACTGTGGAAGGGCTTTGGCGTCATGTCTGTACTCATGGCGCTGGTTGGACTCACACAGCTTCTGAAGGTTAGCTTCCTGGACCTTGGGCCCATCATTTGCCGTTTCCTGAATAAAAGAGTTTTCTCTTAGCTGAGTCAGTGCAGCTCCTGCTGCAATTAAGGCAGCGTGTTTAAAAACACAGGACAAAAGTAATACTGGACATTAGCCAGTAACCACAAATGCTAAAATCTCATCTATCTTTTACCCAGTTATCACGGTGGGTGGAGCCTATCCCAGGCAGCAAGGGGATACCATGGTTGGGATGCCAGTCCATCACAGGGCACATATACACAATGGGATATTTAGAGATGCCAGTTAACTGTCTATCTTTGGACTGGCAGAGGAAGCCAACAGCACATGCAAACTGCACACATGAAGAGCGGAGGCAGGCTGTTAAACTTGGAGGTGTGAGGCAACAGTGTTACTTACTGAGCCGCTGTACCGCTGTTCATCCATATGTTTGAAATGATATTTATGCCGCTACTTTAGGATTTAATTGAGTTAGACTGTAAACCTCATAATGTAGTGCATATAACACAAAATTAAATCAGGATATTTAAACACATAAGGCTTAGCAGAGATTTCCAGTCTCCAGCATGACCTCGTGTGTGTGGAGTTTGCGTGTTCTCCCCGTGTCGTCCTGGGGTTTCCTGGATGGCTTAACACATGCTTGTTGGCCTGAACGGTGCCTATAGGTCATTACCCACTGCTGCTTCTTCCATTGATGTATCCTAGTCAGAGGTCATATGGGGTCATATGGGGGCTTGAAACCTATGGCAGGCAGCACAGGGACACGGCAGAGATACTCCCTTGGTGTGTGTCTGTGTGTGCGTGTGTGTGTGTGTCTGTGTGCGTGTGTGTGTGTGTGTCTGTGTGCGCGAACGAGTTTACCTATCCTTATGGGGACATAATGTCCCCATAACGTGATAAATATCCGTTTTTTTTCCCTTATGGGGACCGGTTTCCTGGTCCCCATAAG